GGGAGTTTCAAGTATTGTGGGAAAGAGTCAAGGACGACAGAGTGGTGCATATTATGGATGATCAGCTTGTGCAGATGATGAACGGGGATGTGAGGACTCCAGCGAAAGAAACCACGAAACACATGGAAGAGTGGAGGGCCTTCGGTGATTTTTATTTTGGGCAGCGGATCGCTCGATCGAGGATGTCGACGGGAAGGCGGGGCCGTATGGGCCTGGGGATACCAAACAGAGACCTCACAAGCCACTCCGAGATGGGCTGGGCCATACAAATCCTCGAAAAGCAGAACACGGCCTCTTTTCCGGTACCTCAACACTCGCGAGAGAAAAGAATGGTGTGGGTCCCGTCAACTGAAGAAGATCTTGGAACATGCAATTTTCAGTCCTCTCAACCATGAATGGCTGGGTCACGGCCAAGCAATTCGCTTGGGTAGCAGAGTTGTCACAGGCCCTGTTTGCCTGATTGTTCTCTTGACTCGTTCTGCCTTGTCTCTTCATCCAATACTCTGTAATATGAACGGCGTACGTATGCCTACCTTGTGCCCAGCCGCTCCTACCTCTAGAGTTTCTGCAACTCGGTCCTGTGGCCGGCCAGTCATCGTGATGATGACTTGCAGAGGGCCAAGAAGGAAGCACGTTTTGGCAGTTGCGCCAGGGAACAGGTTGGATTCCCCCTGTTGATGACAGGGATCACGTTGGAATCGTGATGGACGCACCGTAACTGTGGCCCGTGAAAGGTGGATGAGCTACCGAGGTGAGGGGCCGCAGTCTGACAAGGGTTCGGGGTCCGGAGCAAAGTGACATGCCCTATGGTTGTCTTTTTTGTCAACTTCATCCAGTCCCGTCTTGACATGGAAACTCTTCATTTCTTCCTATCCTTTGGTCTTGCCATCTGCCAGAAGCTTGAATCTTACTCGTTATCTTTCTATCTGACGGTCTGACCTGACCTCAAGATGCAGGATGGACTGCAGCTCCCATTTGACATGAGCATGACGTTCCCGTGCGATCCTCCCGATTCGATGTCTCGACTTTGGTGAGACTCGAGATTGCAAAGGTGTCAAACGTGCTTGCTTATCTCTTTCTTCTTCTTGGAGACGGTTGTACCCATCTTTCCTGGAATTAAGTGGTCAGCAACCAAGCCCAATCTGGGGCTTGCTTTGTTTCACCAGCACCACCATCACTCTACAACCACCATCCTCTTTCCTGATATCCTATCACGTAATCCTACCTCCCATCACGCAGCTTCCAAAGGGCCACATGTCTGCGGCAGCTGATGAGCTCAAACAGCTGTTAGTAAATAGGGCTTGGCCTTACCCGAACAGCAAACCGGTGTAGCAACATGTTAGTCATAAAGATGCTCGTGATTTCCACAGAGTCCGCAGGAAGGAGTAACTGAAGGAAACCCATCAAGGTTCTGAGCTCGCCGTCCAACAGATTTCTTTTTCAGCCGGCGCTAATGTGACACTCAATCGACGTGACGTGCTTGGCCCCAAGAGCCTCGTCTGTAAACGTCCATGTGGATATGTTAGTGCTGCCCCTGGTCAGCACCGCGAAAGGTACGCGAGGCATAGGACTTGCGGTTTGCGGTTGACACTACGCGTCTACCGGGGGGGAATGGTTAATTCTCGTGAACTTCAAGTTAGTGCAGACCGGTGGCAGAAGACAGAGCTTTACAAAAGACTAGCACTTACGCCTACGAGAGATCCTGGTTTTCTATAGACTGGAAGTACCACGCTAACCGTTCCCGCCCCGGGCAGAGGTGTAACCTATAGATGCCTGCCGGCCTGGATCAAAACCTTCTCAACAACATCACCTTCACAGCCCATCCGTAATTCGTCCTTGGCGCCTACTGCGGCCTCCCGATCGTGGAACCGAAAGTCTTCGATCCGGCAGGCTTGTTTATCTAGAGTATAGTGTCAAACTTCCCACAAGGACCTTTGTACGCCTTGACTCGTGATGTAGGGTATTTGAGCGCCGTTGTCATTTGAAATGTGGTGTACACATATCCGCAAGGCTGGCACTGGCGTCTTGGCCCAAACGCTCATGTTGCGTTCCTGTGTACAAGAAGACATGGAGATTGGACTGAGGCAGCAGCAGCATCGACATTCGACGGGCCTTCTTCGTTCTTTGCGTAACAGACTGGGGGATCGGGTAATCCCTGAGTCTAAACCAGAATAGCTCTAGTGCAAATGTGGGGTTATGGAGGACACACTTGTGACGCACATGGGAAGAGTATCACTGGGAATGGCTCTGATGTGCATCGATGGACGCGAAGTTGGTTCCCTGGAAGCTGGCCTTTTGTTGAGCACATGTACCTAGAGATATGAGTGTCAGAAAGGAAGAAAAGACGATCTTGCTCTATCTTAGTTCTTTGCATTGACGGCGGAAATCAAATCACCTCTGAAAAAATGAGCACCGATGGGATATTTCGCCCGAATACCACAACCCATCAAGATGAGTTGAGACAAAAGACAGGGACGGCCCAGCAGCCGGCTGTAAGATGCCGTCGATCCGGCAGGCGGTTTTGATAGTCGCCATAGTCAGAGGCGCATTGCATGCTTCCCAATTTCCGACCTGGCAAGCGATGGGATGGGTTTTCGCGGAATGCGGTGCGATGCTACCAACATCATTCAAATACCAACGGGGGTGCGGTTGTTTCGCAACCCATCCACAGTACACAGCACATGGCAAAGAACTAAAGATCCCGGAAAAAAAGACGATTTGATCATCTCTATAGATTGGACCCCTTAGACTCTCAGACCCTCTGCCTCCGGGCGTGTTCTCTTTTGTGCTTGGTCGACCGTCCTGAAAGAAAGACGGCACGAAGCGGAAGGGCTACACGAACACGGCATCAACGTTCAACAAAACCCCTATAAAATCTCCGGATTCCGGTCACGGGGTAGGGCAGAGAGAGAGGCGAGTATGGCATGTGTAAATAGACCTACCTATTCTATGTATGGGCACAAGAAGGCGCGTTTGCGGACCATGACATAGCAAACTCCTGTCTCCGGTCCTGCCATCGTTGACTTCCACTTATATTGTCGTTATTGTTGTTGCGTCCAGTCCGGTCGGTCCTGTTGCTCCGGCAGACGACCGGCAGAGTCAATATTTCCCGCCTTATCATAACCTGCCCAGTAGGATCGGCAGCTTTCGAAACGTGCTGGACTGGACGGGTCGGACGGTCGCTTTATTCCGTTGATCGGCAGATCTTCAGAAGGAGCGACGGCGCGAGGGCGCTTACCGGCTAGGCTTATAGTGTAGTGATGTACGTAAGCCGCCGTGGTTGATGACCTAAGGACAGTTTTTCGTGACCGTGACTATCGAAAATGTTGAGAAGTGACGGATCAGAGGATTTCGGTCAGATGAGACGGGACCGACGATGACTTCGATGTAGTTACAAGTGGAAGTCGCAAAGGATGAATGGATGTTGTTTCCCGTTCAATTTTCGATCGAGATGCACCGTCTTGGCGGCCAGACAGCCAAGAAATAGGCGTTTACAAGGGTGGCTTCTATGACAGCAGGAGCGGAGGAGGGGAAATTTTCTGTAGAGACTAAGCCAACTGCCAAGCCCAACAGGAGAAGGCGCAGTTGTCAGTCCCACTCGTCGTGAATCGGACGGAACTTTCCAACGGCAGCAAGAGCGCCGAAGCCCAGAACATGGGATGCCAGAGTTCCAGCTGCTGTGCATGGAATCGATGGATGGGCTTGCCGACTGCCGTTTCAAATGTTCAAATGGGTGTGACGATGGGGCAGGTGTGTCCCGATATCTCCCGAGATGCCACTGCATTTCGAGGGCTGCGGTTGGTTGTTGACGAAGTTGGGGAACAGAAAACCAACGTTTTGCAAATGATGGTTGGGTTTCTGTAGCACAAGGGGCTGTTGAAGATGGAATCTCTTTTTTTTTTTTTTTTCAATCTTTCCTTCTCAGGGTTGTATTGGTTGCTATTTTCAATATCCAGCTACCTCCCGCTCCTTCTGGGTTGCGTCTTCAATAACCAAAGAAATAGCTCACCAAGTTCTGATCAAAGATGTCATCGCGAAAAGCACGAGGCATAAACCGAATGCTTCTTCATTGGTGTGACGGGCAAACGAAATCACAAAAAAACCGTGAGGCATTTGACAACAGAAAATGTGACAAGGGAAGAAGGAACAGATGAAAATGAAATCAATGACCGTTGGACTTGCCGTCTGATCTCCAAAGTCTTGGAAACATGGAAGTCAAGAAGGAAAAAGCGGGGCCGGCAATAACGGTGACGCCGGACGGCGGCACGGCGGGGCGGGGAATGGAAGGCTCGACTGCTACAGGACCGGGACCCATCGGACAGTGGATGGAAGCCTCCTTCCTCGATGTGCTTCACAAACAAGAAACGGGAAAGTGCAAAAGCGAAGATGGAAAAGTGGCCGAGATTCTCCCCGTAACTCGCAAGAACCACTCACAGAAAAGGCCCGTAGTGTGCGTGGTTCATGCTATTGCTTCGGAGACGTTAACCACCATGCCGTCTTTGATAGCGGTCTGCAACTCTGAACATTAACGAAGATCTTTTCACTAGCTCCAAACGCCATGATCAACCAGCGTCTCTCTACACTAGGTGCTCTAAATGCATATCACTATCCTTGTCTATATCGTGGCATCTAACGCGCTGCATGATCCGCGCAATGAGAACATTTCCATCCGTAAAATGCTGCCATAGTATCAAAATGCTAAAATGAACACCGCCGGGTATCGCTAAACATAACCACGTCCGTCTGTCTATGGTGCTTCCCATTTTCCAAATCCTTTGAGCGTCTTGTTGGTCCTGGAGTGATCGCGCGGTTTGGTGACATTGAAACAGCGTCCATCACCACCTACACCTTTGCCCAGCGATTCTGGAACTTTGGCAGAGGCGCAGTCGGCAAACACTTATCAGCCTCACAACACCACCATCCTTTCGAGTAAAGGTGGTGTGCTGCCAATTTGCAGTTTGACTCGGTCAGGCCTCTTTGGTGAGCCGATAATAGTAGCTAGGCTGACGTCCAAGAAACTTAGCTTCGTGAACATTGCCGTAAAAGAGTGTTCCTGGCAGGAAAGGTATGTAGTATCCGAGGCCGGCACGCTCATTTGTGCGAACTGCTGCAAACACCACGGAAGCAAGCCAAGAAATCAAATCACACCGCTGTGAGGCCTCCACGGGTCAGGTAGAGCCGGTGCTCCCGGGTTCTGTTGGCTGTAGGAGGGTAGGATTCGTTCCCGCTCTCTCTCCTTTAGTTCCTCCATGTCCTCACGGCCTTGTCCTTTCCGCCAGATCCTACCATCTTGCCATCCGGCGACCAGTCGACGGCGTATACCTGGAAGCGAGTTAGAAAATTTTCATGGAGACACCGACGTCGGGGCTTTCGGTTCACATACCTCGTCTTCGTGTCCGGGAAGGTCCATGGCGAGAGTGCCAGTACGAACGTTCCATGCCTTGAGGGTAGTATCTTTGCTAGCCGTGATAAGAAGTCTGCTATCGGCGGACCAGGAGCATTGGTATACCTGAAGTATCAACGTGTTAGAACTTTCCCGTCATGGTAAGAGATGCATATTGGAAAGAACTTACGGGTGCAACATGGCCCCTCAAGCTCTTGAGGAACTTGCCGTCCCTAGCATTCCAGAGCTTCACACTGTTATCCCAACCAACCGAGGCAATCAGAGTGCCATCAGGAGAGAACTGAACCTGGTTCACCTTGTTCTGGTGTCCCAAAAGTCTAGCAACGGGCTTGGTACCGTTGTTGGTGGGATCCCACAGGTACATGGTAAAATCATCACTGGCAGATACTATCCGCTCAGCAACCTTGCCGTTGATCTTGGCCGCTCTCTCGAAACGCTCCTTAGCCTTCTCCCTCTTGCCCTCCTCAGTAGCAGGGACGTCCTTGGTGTGGTCGAAGTATGCGGTCCTAAGGGCATGGTCGCTGGACAGACCGATGTGGTTGATCCAGTGGGCATGAGATGTGAGGCTGTGTACCAAGGTGCCCTTGACGGCATCGAATACACGGATAACCTTGTCGTGCGAGCCAGTGTAGATCAGATCGGTTCCACCCCATCGCACGCAGGCAACGGAGCTCTTGTGACCGCTCAGGACATTCTCGGTGCGGCCTGTGTTGACAACCCAAATTCTGCAGGTACCGTCCTTGCTAGCACTGGCGATCCTAGGAGTGCCGTCTCTCCACAAGTGGTAAGGCTGCCACGCCGTCATCAACACCCATTTGGCGTGGCCCTTGAAAGGCTGACCAACGGGCTTGCCGGCCTCGGGGTCCCATATCCTCACTGTGCCATCCATGCTGCAGGTCGCTAGTTGCTCTCCATCGGGTCTCCAGTTGACGCCGAGAACCCAGCCGGTGTGTCCTTTCAGTGTGTGCTTCGGCGTACCGGTATTTGTGTCCCAGATACGGGCTGTGTTGTCGCCACTTCCGGTAGCAAGGCGACCGGACGAAATAGGAGAGAACTGGGCTGCGAGGATGGGTTGGCCGTGACCGGGAATGCGATGGGCAAGGCGCGAAACTGCTTGTACCCTGAAAACAGCCTGGGGCTCGGCGCTAAGTGTGATGGTGGTTCTACGCAGAGAGGTCAGCAAGGCATGTACGTGGTGTTTTTGCTCTTTCTTGGACTGTCATACTCGAAGGGGTTCTCGACGCCATGCTGCTTGAGAAGGCCGAGGAGGTCGGATGGGTACTGGTCGACAATGATATCCTTGCCGGGAATATGGATGCGGAATCGGTATGGGGTGAACTCTTCGCGGTCTCTCTCGAGTAGTGTGTTGAGCAAGACGGAGATGTTCTTCTCGGTGGCATCGGCAAAGTTGATTTCGATCACATCGGTCATCTGGTTGCCATCGCTGTCGACGAAGTTGGCCTTGAAGGAGCCGAGCTCGGGCGCCAGTATCGGGGCGACATCTAGCTGTGTTGTGGTGCGCTCAATCTCCTCTCTCTTCTGGCGCTTCGACGGGGGTGGTAGTACTGTCGCCATTTTGAATTCTGTTGCGCTGGAAGTTGTCGCTGGAATAGTGTTGCGATTCTCGACTTCCAAGTGTTGATGGGATTGGGGCCTTCTGGGTTTGCACTGCTGCCCCCTGCAAAGGCTGGACGCAGCAGAATGCGGGAAGTCCAAAATTTTGGCGGTGATGGCGTGCAAAACTCGCTTGGCGTGTCCCACTCCAATGGAGCTTTGACCCACAACTGCTTCCCATTGGTCTCCATATCAAGATGTTTATGGTTTAGCGTTGTTAGTGCTTCCCCACGGAAACGGTGGAGTTGTCTTTCGTTGTCGTCTCCTCCAGTTCGACATGTTGAATCCAAAACTTCGACTTGATCCATCATCATCATCCTTATCATCCGCTTTGTCAATATCCAGAACACTTCAATTAAACTTATCAACCATCGATTATCCCTATCGGCACCTCCATCTCATGCTCTTTCTATCTATACCTCTACTCTATAACTGAAACCCAGAGGAGGCACATAATCCAGCATGATGTCTTCTTTCCCCCTGTGCCATAAAAACCCGGGACATTCATAATAAAAAAGGCACTTTGAAACGATCATGGCAAACAACAACACGCAGTCTTACCAGTTCATCCGTCTTCGACTTAATGGACCAACACTCTCAAAGAACGCCCACGTTCATGATGGGAGGTCGGAGGATGAGCGTATACCTTCGTTCACTCTTGCTAGATATGCCATAAATTGGATATTTCTGGTATTGAACCAAAAAAAAACCGAATCCCCTCCGTGGTCGATATTTGGGCTTTGGAGACACTGATATCGCGGCTTAAAGTTATAATATTAACGCTATAAATAAGTTATTAAATTAAAATAAATTTGCTCCGGAAGGCAAAGAGGCACGACACCCGGTCTTTCGATCTGTCCCGATTGAAACTATGCGACCTATGAAATTTGCTCCGGTCCTTCGCTGCATATTCCGCTATCTATAAGGCAATTCTTCCCGTCACTCTTGGTCTTCATTCACCCAATGCCACTTACAAAGTATTGCGGCTGCTACTGGTCCCAAGTCAGATAAGGTCCGGGCTGGTATCGATGGCATCTGGTATGGCATCTGGTACTGCCTCTGGTACTGCCTCTGGTACGGCATCCAGTTGTACCAATATGGCTGTTGGCGGAAGCCCAAACCTCCTCGTCAAACAAACTACTTCTTCGGTCTGAGCCTTAAACTTAACCATCCATCTGTAATCCGAATCTAGCCTACACACTCCAGCTTCCCATTCCAAATCCTGTCTTCACCCTTACCCTACAGAGCTAGCCAACCTTGGATTTGGCAAGTAAAACGCTGCCACGGCAATAATGAGGTAGGCAGATGCCAAAAGTGCTCCCTCGAGGTAGTTACTCCTCCCATCCTTAACGAGAAAGTTCACGATGAAGGTACTAACGGACATGCAAACAGTCTCGAAGAGGGTAAAGTAGAGAGACATGTCTCGATCCATGATCCAGCCCAAGATAACCACTACGGGCGTCACAAACAGCGCAATCTGGATACTGCTGCCCAGCGCCACGCCTAGTGCCAAGTCCATCTTGTTCTTGAGTGCCACGCTCACAGATGTGATATGTTCGGCTGCATTGCCTACAATGGGGAGGAGGATTAGACCGATGAAGGCTTCGGAGATGCCTGTGGTTGCGTCTGCATCCCGGGCGACGATTGCATCAATGGAGTCCACCATGAACTCGGCACAAAGGGCGACCAAGCCGGTCGAGGCCAGAAGAAGGATGATGGCGGCTTTCTGTGACATGGCTTCCACCTCCGGAGTCTCCTGGGCCTCTGGCTTTTCCTCACTATTTACGGGCGTGCCCGGTATGCTGTCGACCACAATGGGGACTATTGCCGGTAGTTCCGGCAGCAGTAGTCCCGGCAAGGTGCGGCGCCGGGTCGCAACCGGCATAGACTGGACACGCCGCAGTGACTGTCCTTGTGGACCGTTCTCCGGTTGCTCTGCTTCGTTGGTGTTCTCCAGCATGGAGGCAACAGCAGTTGAAATCGGCCGGAGCGATCTGAGTAAGAACGGCGCAGTGCGAGGGGCCGTGTCCCGCTGTGCCTCCAAGTCACTGGCTAGGCTAGAACCATGATGTTCGTTGGTCCCAGAATTCTGGTCTCGGCCTTGCAACGTCTCAACATCGTTTGTTTCACCCTGCTGGCCCGGCCCTCTTGCGTCATTGACAGCGAACGTGTCAGTCTCAGGGTGGTTAGTAGGTTTGAGTTCCTGCGTCTGGTGGAGCGTGTCATCTGTGACAGCTGTCGTCCTTTCAGCGGCGCTGTGCTCCGTTGTGGTCACACCCCTGCTGTTCTCCTGTCTTCCAGCTGTGCCACCATCTTCGTTCGACATGGCCTGGGGCGCTTGTCGTGAGTTCTCATCACGAGATGAAGACGAGTTACGTCTAGAGTTGAAGTAATGAGCTACAGGGCCGGGTGCCGTTGCCTGCTCAATTACGTGCCTTGGCGTTGGCGCGTACAGATAGGAGTGCGATTGTAGCTGGAAGATGAGGTAGAGGAAGTAAACAAGGAGCAGGATGACACTGGTTCCCCGGCTGAGGGGTAGAACCTTACTATCCGCCTCCTTGACGTTTTTGAACGTGGCGTGGAACGCGGTTGGAAGCATCAAGCTCAGCACACTCAGTGTGAGCAAACAAGCGCTCATCTGGGTTACGGTGCTGTTGTAAATCTGCTCGCGATAGCGCAGACCGCCCCAGATGAAGCACATCCCCAGGATCAACAGGAGGTTAACCAAAATTGAACCAACGAGAGAGGCCTGGACGATCCGGATTTCGTTCTTTACCAGCGCAATTCTGTTGTCCGCGCACCATTCGTCAGCTTTGAGCCTTGGTTGATCGGCACAGCAGAAGACGCTGTGGAAGATCCTGTGGCGGATCAGGATTCACTCACATGAAAATGATTAGCTCAACAGCGTTTCCAAAGGTGACGTTCATCAGGGCAGCGACCGTGTCACCGCAACGACCGGCTACGCTTTCCGTCGCATGGCTGAGGAGCCCGGCCAGAGGAATAATCGCAACAGCGTTCATGCCGAAGACCACGCCAGCCGGCATGGACGTGAAGTCTGCAAAAAAAAAAAACAAGCAAGTCAGCAACCTGGGAGTCTCATGCGAGCAGCACATGACGACTATGAAGTGCTACATGTGCAGCTTATCCTGAAGGGTTAGGTGAGGTATCTCCCTAGAGCCTAGCCCTGAGAAGAGCCACTGGTGTACGGCCTTCTACCTAGCCTTGGAGCCAGCCTAGACCGCCCAGTGTCCTACAGTGAGGAGAATGTGAAGGGGATCTGATGGACTTACGGACGGCGAATGCCACCGGTACAAAGACCAGGGCTATGTTCAAGAAGCTCGAGAAAAGAATGCCTTTAGCGCAGGAGTAGAAGCGCGCAAGTGCCGAGGGCTTCTTCGCTTGTGTCTCTCCACCAGCAGTGAACGCCGGCGCTCCATCCACCTGACCAGACACCACTGAGCCATGGCGGCCGGTCTCGGCTGTCGTGATTGTGCCACGGCGGCTTCCACTCGCTCTCAAGATTGGAGTAGCATCAGACCTAGTTCGCACCAGAGGCGCTGGGCCATGAGCTTTTGCCCTTTCCCAGGTCCGGATTCTGTCTGTGACCCACAATGGTGTTAGTGAACGCCGCTTTTTGAAAGTTGATGCCGGGGAAAGGCGGATGTGAGGAGCTCAGGGCAACTCACGCATGACTGAACGGCTGTAGCACGCGGTCGTTGATCAGACTTCCGCTCACTTAACTCTGAAAGAGGAGAAAAGAAAGCGGGATGAACGAGTGTTTGGATCAGATACCAAGAGCTGACCACTGACTTAATTGAAGCAGAGCAGCTGGAGTTAGGAGATGAAGTTCTTTGTTTATAAAAAAATCTTTGCGCAAGAGAGACTCTGATGACATGTTTTCTGCGATGGCGGCATCACACGGCATTAGACTGCATCTGACTTGAAGCAGTTCACGGCATCAAATGAAGTATCACGCTTATGCAAGATCAACTGCATCTAGGGGACAGGAGTTGCATCGATAGCACGTCGGTGCTTCCAGGTCTCTTCTACAAGTCCTCTATTCCAATGATCAATCCATCTGTGACAGAAAGTCATAGAGAAAGGAGCAGAAACCAAGGAACAGTTACTGGCAGGCCATGCTGTGAACTTGAGTACAGAAAGGCAAACAACAACAAGTGAACATGCCGTGTACACAATACGTTATTCAGCAGTGATATCAGACACACAGACTCCGCGATCGTCTTCTATCCCGTCTACGATACGCTTCGTCGATGGCACAGACAGCTGAAGTCGAATCAAACCAATCAGCCATTCCCTTGCGAGTCACTTCATCACTGTTTCGAAACAAATGCTTAGATCCGGTGCCTGAATCAGTCGAGCCCATCTTTTTCATCTGATCTACAGCCGGGACTAACCTGGCAGATCTCCACTTCTAAGTAGAGATTTGAGATCTACAAGTACACCATAGATAGAGCATGGAAGGACTACCTCAGTAGCACTCATGTCCTTACTCGATCGACCTATTAAACTCATCAATGACACTAACCGGCTTCACGAACCTGCCCAGCGGTTCGTACTTCAGGTGGTCAAAGCCGAAAGCTTTGGGACCACCAAGATCGATGCCTCTCTGTGACCCCGTCCACTTGTCTGAAGCGGCGATTCCGAGAACAATGACCAGCAAGCCATACCGATACTCCGGAGTGCCCACGGCTTCACCGCTTTGAGCGTCGATAACCGATATCAGGTCCGGCACGATCGCCAGCACATCCTCTTGCTTCTCCAACTTCTTCTCGTCGTTATCGTCATCGTTAGAACCATCATCCTCCGGTATACGGATAGCAGCAATGTTCTCGTTCTTGAACGGGATCTTGATCCTCTTGCCAGTGAAGTCCTCCTCCCCACCAACACCTTGACCTCCAAGTTGTCCCCTTGTTCTCTTCTCACCGCCTGTTGTTGTAGTAGCACCATCCGACACATCCGTCCCCTCAATAACACACTCCCCATAAACATGCCCCATCCTCAACGTCCTCCTAACACCCACAATCTTCCCCTTGAACAACACCTTGGCTGCCCCCTTCTTGCCCCCACCACACTCCTCCACAATCGTCTCCGCCACCTCATCCAACCGATTCATCGCCCTCGCCCTCGCCACTGCCCTCCCCAGCCTCCACGCCTGCGACACCGTGTTCTCCACCACCCACCTCTTCATCTCCGCGCCCGTCACGGGGGGATCAGCCGCGCCCACCTGGCTGCCCATCTGGCTCAGCGCTGCACGAATGATCCTTTCCACGGCGGCATCCGACGCCGCCTTGGGCATCACCAACACGTTCCCATTCCCGTCTGCGACCGCGATGGGGCTCCAGATGGGCGACCGCTCGTTGAATACCACGGGCGTCGTCTGCCACTTGGTCGGGTACGCCCGCCCCATCCAGTCCCCGTCGACGCAGGGGATGTTCATGTTGGTGCTGGCGCCGAGCGTCATGCCTTGGAGACCGTTGCCGCCGCCGATTTCGAGGGCGATCATGTGCGTTGCTTTACCACCCTGACCGGAGGCTAAGGCTTTGTACAGCTCCGTCTGCGCTTGCATCATCTCATCGCCTTGCAGCTTCTCGATGCTCACCGTCGGCGAGCCGGCGCCGCAGCCGCAGCCGACGGCGGCGGTGTCGGGCACGTCCGCAGGGGAGACGACCCGTACCGAGGCGCCGGAGCGCAGGAGTTGTCGGAGGAGAATCATGGAGGCGTAGGGCGAGCCGCCGCCGCCGGTGCCGAGGATGTAGCAGCCTGTGGAGATGAAGGTGAGATCTGTTTCGGAGATGTGCCAGATGCGGTTGAGGACGGTGGGGGTGTAGGTTAGGACATCGACTTCTGCTGGTTGTGTCTGAGGCTTGGTCTTCTCTGTAAGGGGTTGTTGCTTGGAGGAGTCCTGCTCCAAGGCCTCTGATGGGACTGCCTCCTCCTCGTCGTCGCTTGACAAATCTGATCGTGTGAAGTCAAAGTCGCCGGCTGCGCGGACGATGAAACGAGTTTTGTTCTCGACGTACTGGCAAGTGTTCATGTTAGTCGTTTGCAACTTCCATCAATGATGGAATGTTCCTTCTTACCTGCAAAGGCAGCATCTCAATCTCAACGACCTCGACAGACTCGGGCGAAGCACCAGCTGCAATGGTTCTCTCGATAGCCTCCTTCTTGATCTCCTCCAAGAACTGATTCTCCGTCTTCGTCTCGGTCGACTTGATGGTGTCCACAACAGCACTGACGCGAGCAATGGCAGCTCCTATCGCGTTCGCAACCTCGGACCATCGGGGCTTGAGGACCTTGCTTGCACCTTGGAGCTCATCAGGAGCAATGACTGCACCACCGCCGACAAGAATAACTGGCAAGTTCTCTGGTGAAGTCTTCATGTTGTCGATTATCTTCTCGATCTTGCTCTTGACGATGGCCTGGAACTGCTGGGTCTCGGCCTCGGTCAGTGCGTCTTTGACAAGGCTGGCGTCGCCTATGCTGGTGATATCTGGGTTGGCGAGCACGGTGCAGTCCGTTGTGGTAAGCGTGCTTCCGCCGAAGAGCAGAGCTTCCTTGTTGATCCTGTAGCCTACACTGTCTGGCCCGACGGTGATGCCGTCTTTGCCCTTTCGGACAATGGAACCGCCGCCGAGACCGATGCTTCTGATGTCTGGGCATGAGAAGTTCTATAACACCCACAGTAGAACCCAAAGTCAGTCAACCAACACGAACACCGGGAACTTTCAACCTTTCACGGAGACCATCTTGGCAAAATAACATACCATTCTCACACCTGCCAACTCGCTATAAGCAGCCTGCTGTCTCGGAAACCCATTAGGCAATAACAACCCAACATCAGTGGTAGTCCCACCGATATCCACCACCATCATCGCCTCTCCCTCTCCCTGTCCGACCTCCTTCTTCCCACCCTCCTCCATGCCCTGCACCAAAAACGCCGCTCCCCTCATACTATTCGTCGGTCCACTCGAGAAAGTCTTAATCGGCAACTCCGCCGCCTTCTCCCCCTTCAAAATCGTCCCATCATTCTGCGTAATAAACACCGGCACACCCTTCAGTCCCAACCTCCTCACCGCCTCCCTAAACTCCCTAATCGTCCGCCTCGCAAACCTCAATATACTCGCATTCAAAACCGCCGCGTTCTCCCGTTCCAAAAACCCCAAGTTCGCCACCTCCTTCGAGCACACCACATCCACTTCTTGCCCACCTAATTCCCGCCTGACAATCTCTGCCGCCCTCTCCTCCTGTTTGTGGGTGGTATCAATGGGACTAAACACGCCATTAACCACCACCGCTTTGATCCCACCGCGCTTGCGGATTTCTTCACATTGCTCCACGATTTCGGCCTCGTCAATATCGCTGATCAACGACCCGTCTACCTCCAACCCGCCCTTCACGCGCGCGTGGTAGCCTAGGATCAACGAGCGCATGTCCTCGGGCCAGTCCACGCAGGGCGGGACGTGCTTGGAGAAGGGGCCGGACAGACGGAGGACGGCGACGCGCGAGAGACGGGAGGGGTCCCGCTCGATGACGGCGTTGACGAAGTGCGTGGTGCCGATGGTGACGCTGGCGATGGCGTCCTGGGGACGGATATCGGCGTGGGTGGCTTCAACTTGAGTGAACATGGTGGTAATGGCGGTGATGATGCCGTCGCTGGGGTTGGGCGTCGTGGCGGTCTTGTGGTGGGCTAGGATGCCCTTGGAGGGCCCAGAGGCCACCAAAGAGGGGTCAAGGATGACGCCGTCGGTGTTGGTGCCGCCGACGTCGACGCCGATGCGGAGGCGGCGGGTTGAGGGTTGGGAGGTCATTTTTTTTTGGTTGTGTTAACTGTCTTTGTGAGGTGCCTGGTTGAAAGTGACTTGAGAGGATGTGCCAGGGGCGAGTGTGGAAATTGGAGATGGAACTTTAGGTTAGCAGGAGTGGTTGATGAAGTGATGAAAGCGTCCGTTTGTCGTCAAACCAAGACACTTCGCTGGTGTCGGAGAGGCAATGAATGGAGAAGGATTCAAAAGGAAAAGATCATGAGCCCATCAAGAAGATGGACATGATGGTTATGACGCATGTCGGCCGGCCGGAGGTGTCTTCAAGGTGGGGGGAATGGAGACATTCGTGAACGTCGTCGGCGGTTTGCCCCACATCAACATGCGCCAATCCCTAAAAGAGGAGTTTAAAGTGGAGATGCGCGATTATCTGATCATCAGATAAGGGCGACCAGCTACTTGTAGACTTGTCATCTGCCTTCTTTTTCGCAAAACTTCAAATCATTTCTCACCCAGTGGCTTTTCCCCATGACTGACGAATTCTTTCTGCGGCATATCCCCCCGACGCCAGAGATGTTACGAAACCTTCTTTCTTGAGGGCGCATGCCAATGACACATGTGGGTAGCTCCCGAGCCCCCGACAGTCTTGGAAGCCTGGCCTCAGTTCCCATCTTTTCTCGCATTGCATTTCAACTTATTGGACAGACATGGTCTACGAAACTCTTGGTTGACAAAGAATCTTGACCTCGTCTCCCTCGCACTTCAATCTGCGGCCAGCATTCTTCTGGCTGCTGTGTAACACCATCAAGAAGATGCCATGATGAGACATCGGGTTTCTAATCAGAGGTCATTGGCCACCTTGACGGAATGTACGCACGTCAGTAGTCAATTGTGTTACTGATTTCAAAGTAGAATAAGGTACTCACCTGAGTGACCTGGAGGAAACGGTAGGCGGGGGCACGACTTCGAGCGCGTCGATTCGTGTAACTGGAAGATGAAGCTACCCCTCAGTGTCGGATATATCATATCCAGCTCTTCTTTCTCGCCCATCTTGCTTGTGCCATTCCGATAGAGCCAAGTGCTTTGCCGCAATAACCGCGAAAAAACAAGTCTTCAACCGCAACCGGAAACAATCACACCATGGCCAACACTCCCCTCAAAATAACTCAAGATACCTTCATCCCCCTCAACTCCCTCATCCTCATCACCGGCATCAACGGCCTCATCGCCAGCCACATAGCCGACCAGCTCCTCTCCGCCGGCTACCGCGTCCGGGGCACCGTCCGGAACAAGGCCCGATGCGCCTGGGTCGAGCCCTTCTTCACCTCCCGCTACGGCGCCAACCGGATCCAAGTCGTTGAAGTCCCCGACATCACCGCTCCCGACATCTGGAACGCCCACGTCGCCGGTGTCTCCACCGTCATCACCGTAGCCGGAGTCGCCTGGCTCGACGACAGAGACGTGCCCAAAGCCGTCAACGAAGAGCTCAAGTGTCTCCACGGCCTACTCCACGCCGCCAAGACGCACGCGAACACCGTCCAGGCGTTCATCTACACCAGCTCTTCGTGGGCGGCTTATACGCCCAAGGCCGGGGTCCGCAGCACTCTGACGGAGGAGTCGTGGAATCATGAGGCGGTCGCATTGGCTGAGGATCCGAGCATCACCGATGCGGAAAAGGGACTCCCTCCGTTCATGGCCATCAAGGTCAAAGTCGAAGAGGCACTCTGGGACTGGGTTGCGAGGGAGAAGCCCAAGTTTACGGTCAATGCGATGCTCATTTCCACCCGTCATTGGGCCTATCCTTGATCCCGGGAATCAGTCAGCCAGCACAGCCGGCTTGGTCAGGGCTTTGTACGATGGGAAGCCGAAGGAGGCAATCGATGTCATTGCTACTCTCGGACCGCAGTGGTCCATTGATGCCCGAGACGCAGGTCGGCTGTATCTGGGCGTGTTGGTGTCGGGGCTGACTGGATCGAGGGTCTATGGGTTTGCGGAGCGGTTCAATTGGAACCGGACTCTGGACATTTTCAAGGAGTTGTATCCCGAGAAGAAGGACTGGGTGGAATTGCCGAGATCATATCAATGTGATGAATCGGAGATTATGGGAGACATCTCTCTCTCATTGTTGCGTGCTGTCGGACAGGAGGGATGGACGAGCTTGAAGGAGAGCATCAAAGATGCGGCGGAGAGTTTTGGACAGTCCTAACGGAGACTTGAAAGCATGATGGAGCCGGGAGAGTGCATGGTCTTAGGACGGATACTGATGTCATCCGATGCCTCGGTCCCGAACATCTCGTCCAATCTCGTTCTAGGCACCCACCTTCGCTTGTCTCCTTTTTCTCCCGGTCGGTTTCTTTTTCTTCTTTCAGCAGTGTGTTCACGGTACCTGCAGTAGCGTACACCTCCTCCGGCATGTAAACGTTAGCGCGGTGAATTGCAAAGTGGCGATAACTTCAATCTTTGTACAAAAGATGAGAGGTTTTCTCACCCTTAAACCCCTAAATATTGTAAGGTGGCGGTACCACGCTAACCGTTTACACGTGTATTCGCCGGAGGAGGTGTACGAGATTATGTGATATTACTAGTAATAATCAATATGGGGTTCAACGTAGCTTGATTGTGTGTGTGTGTGTAAGACTGGCTCTACAGACTCGAAGCTCTAGCATCTAGATAAATCCCGCATATCCTAGCCCAATTGGGTACGTACACGCCCAATAAATCCCCTAGTCTCTAACACACCCCCTTAGATTTAGTATATAAACTACGCCAAATCTACCCAAATATACCCTAAAATATCCTAAAATCCTTCTAAAACTAACTAGAAATAATATTATTCTCAAATTACTTCCTCGTTACAATAGCTTTCAAACTTTTACTCGTAAGAATTTTACTTTATTACACTTACCGTTACACTTACCGATTCGTTACCCGAATCCTCCTTTACAAAATCCTCCATACCCTTTAAACGGCCTACAACAATATCTCCGCTATTAAATTCTCGCAATTAAATTTATAACCGCTATAACTCTACGAATCCAAATTACTCTATAAATCTCAAATATACTACGGGAAGGAAATTCTTTATAAAGCTATCTACAATTTACTCCTTAATAAGTACATAAATTATATCTACTAACTTCCTCTCTTATACTTACTTTAACCAATATTTACATACATTAACGTACTTAAATTTAATTACAAACCGAACTCCCTCCTTTACAACAAATTATATTATCTATTTATTATTATAACCTATAGGCGTAGCCTCTTAATTTTCGAATCCTAAAGTAAATTCGTTAAAGAAACGGCGGACGTAAATTACCTCCTTAATTCCTTAATTAAAAGATAATGATTTAACCTTTATAAATAAAATTATAATTATATCTTATTTATTAGTAGGCCAATTAATAATAGCGCCTAATAATTTAAATATAAATACTTGTAAACTCGTTCGATTAAGAGAATTATCTATAAATAAAGAATTAATTATAATATAGAAATCCTAACGGTTTTTACTACCTAATTGAAAACTATAATTTTAAATTATTAGAAAGTAAAAGAATACTCTAATTATAATTACGTAATATACTAAATTAAGGTTTGAATTAAATCGAACGAATCTAGAGACCGAGAAGGCTACGTTTAGTCGCAACGTAATAATAATATAAAGAATCGAACTAATTTTAACTTAATATATATAAATCTCGTACGGGGCTACGTTATCTTAATAAAATAAGAGTTCTTTCCTAATTATAGGCGTAGAGTACAACTTCTTTATACGTTTAACCTTCTCTACGATCTTCTAAATATAGTTGCGCTATAATAATTAAATTAATTTCTTCTCTCGGTCTCGAATAATCTCGATACTTAGAAACTATTTTAGTAGCTCTCTACCTATTAGCTAATACTTTCTCTCTATAGCGGCCACTACCCCTTTAATTATAATAATCTCTTTATCCCTATATTTATAAGTAAAAATAATATTATTAACGTAGAAGAAGAAGAATATATTATTTTTAGTTAAAATACTAAATTCTATAAAGAGAAGGTTTATACTTATAATTATAAAGGTCTTAATAAATTCCTACTACTAAAAGAATGGAGATTTCTATAGACTATATAATGCGTATAATAATTAAAATATTTAACCTTTCTCAATATACTTAGGGGGAACCCTTATAAATATTACCTTATCGAATATAGGATTAATAAAGGCGTTCTTCACATCGTAATAAATCAAATCGAAATTAAAATAAATAACTATACTTATTAGGATAAAAAACGACCTAATAATTAAAATTATTATATATATTTTATATACGCTATCTTTAAACTACTAATCCCTACGTATAATTAAATATACTTTATATTTAGAAAACCGGCCGTTTTAATCGAACTTATAAATATATACCCACATCGAATCGAATATCTTATTATCTCCTACTTCCTTAATACTAACCTACTTCTAAAATTTCTTATCCTTATACTCATCTAGGTATTCCTTCTTTATAACTTTAAAGAATTTTCTAAAAGAATAAAAATTAAAAATACTATAGTATTCTAAATGAGGTAGGAAATTAATTCGATAGAAAGGTCCTTAATATACCCTTTACTCTAGAATAATTAATAATTTCCCTTATTATTTTTAATTTAGGATTATAGTCGGAATCAATATTAATACCCCTCTCTCTCATCTCCTCTAAAAAAATTTAATCTACGACCTTATCTCCCTAAAATCCTACTAATCGATTACCCTTTGCGAATAAAAACAACGCGGCCTAATAAAAGTATTAATCCATAATTAATTATAAATCTTCGTTAGAACAAAAAAAAAAGTTATTAGAAACGCGGCTAAGCTTTCAAGAAGTATAGGGAAATAGCCCTCTTCTTTATCCTTTAAATTCAAAATCGTATTCCAAAAATCCAACGACAATTATACAAATAGCGATAGTAAGGACTCCAAAAATCCTTATAATATTTCTAAACCTATTTATAATTATATTTCTAATACCTACGGGACCTCCAAAAATCTAAATTGCGTCTATATTTCTAAAGACCCTAATTCCTCCTCTTCCCCTAATATATTCTCGGTCTCGATAAGAAAATCTTAAACAACAGGGCTAAAACCTCCGTCATCTATAATAAATATAGCTTCAACCTATAGGACATCTACTTATATAATATTTATTTAATAAAAATCTTTTAATTATATAACCAACTCTTTAAAGGAAATATTAAAAGCATTATAAATTTCTTTAATATTACTACTAAAAAGACCTCATTTTTATTAAATATAATATTTCGTATAATAATAATAGAATTAATATAAAGATTTCAAATCCTATAAATATTCGTTAATTAGTATCCAACTGAATAGCCAACCTAAGTACGGTCTTTAAACTTTATTAATTTATTCAATTCTTTTATAATTTCTATTATAAAAATACAAATTTTATAACTATATATTTTAAAGTATATAATAATAAGGGAGGGATTTAATAGAGGAATAATACCGTCTCTAAATTAATAATACGTTTTGAATCGGTCTTAAAGAAATTTCTAAGGATATTCCGCCTTACGAATTAAATTATACAAATATATAATTATTTTAATAATTTCTATTTATAATCCGTAAAGAATATTTGTATTTAATTGTATTACCGTACCCTTAATTTTAATTACACTCCCTAAATATTCTACGCCGCCGTTTTAAATTTATACATAAAACGCTAAAGGCTCGATACTAATTCTTTTTACAATAAATTAAATAATAATCTTCTTTCTACTAATTATTTTATTATCGTATTTAACTACCCGAAGTACAATCTAATATTAAATTTACAACCCTATACAAAAGGATTCCAAATAAGTAATAATAAATTCAGCTTCTCTATTATCCAAATAATATACTTAAATGAATCTAAATTATTAATTTATAATTATTATTAAACTTAAAATATTTCTAACCCCCTATATTTACTTCTTTATAAAAAAAGAAATCCATAATTAATCGTAACTTAAAGCCCTCTAAATAATTGCAAACTTTTCTACGTACTTAGCGCTTCAATTTAACCTTAGTATATAGTTCGTAATATACTATATCCGGTCCTTTAAATCGTATGCTATATTTTTACTCCATTAATTTAATTAAAATCTCGGGTCCCGGGTAACCAAATCGAAATTACTAAGGAAAGAGCTTACCCTCTTAAAACTTCTACTTAATATAATTTATATACTATATAGTAAAAAAATATTCGTTAATACTATTCTATAAAAGGATATATTCTAAAATAAATTATTTATATTTAGAAAAGATATAATAAATAAAGGAGTCTATAAAGCGGGAACGTAAGCAATTATTTTTATAATCCTAATAAATTTATTCATTTTCGAATTATTTTAAAGAAACGAGGTTATAAATTATACCTAATACTAAAACGACGTTAAAGAGCTAAAACTCTCTATCTCTATCGTCGTCTTAAACTATAATTATAATAATACTATACCCCTTTATAGGAATCTACTTATTTCCCGCCTATATACAATTACTAATATTTAAAAGGGTAAAATCTTCGAAGTAATTAACCTTATTAAAAATATATATTATTATACTTAAATTAAAGATTACAAAATCTCTTAATAAGTATATAATATTATATCTTACCATAAGTATTAAAAAAACTACTTTTATTTACCCGGCGATTATAAAATTAATTATCTTAATCCTTATTGTCCTACTACGTTCGTAGATAATTAACGGCCTCTTTAAGTATTTTATCCTTTTTTTAAATTAGTATATATACGCTTTTTAATAATAAAATTTTCGATCTAACCTTTATAGGCTAATTATAATTTAATGTAGTAATATTTATCCAAATTATAGCCCGGCTACTTATAAAGCCTATATAAGGATTAATATAATCGTTTATTTATTAATAGGGACGAAGAGGAAATATATTTATTCTTATTAATATTTTTCCTAAATTTACCGTTTTTACCTATACCCTCTCCCCGTCTCTCTACTTCTAAGCTAAGGTTTTATTCGTCGTTAGGAACGTCCTCTTTAGCAAACTCACCGCCTAATATAACTATAAACGTAACATCTTTAAATAAAAGGGCGTAACCCTTTTCCTAAATAATATTCGCTATTACTACCTTATAAAAATCTTTAGTTACAATACAAAAAAAAGATTTTAAAATTAAAATTTCTCTTAATCTCCTTATTATACTGGAACTAATAATTGTCTACCTAAGTAATATAAGGACTCGACCTTATAATTATATAGAATTCTAAGAACTATAAATCTAATTTATTTATTCTAATAATTCCTCTAATAATATAAAGCGCTATAGCTGCCTTCTAATAAAAGGTCCAATTATACTAATTATAATTAATTCTACTAAGGGGCTTAATATTAATAAATTTAATTCGGGCGAACTTCTTTACCTTCTAATCGTTAAAAGCAATAGACTTATTAAAATTATCGTACTACTTATATAAATTAATACATTTAATAAAATTAATCTTCCAATAATTATCTCCAATAGTTTTAAATATTTAGCGATTTAATATAGTCTTTTTAATACCCAAATTAGAAAAGATCTTAACCTCTACACGCTAATCCAATTTCTTGATTATATAATTACAATAATTACACTTATAATAGAAGCTATAAAATTTAGCAGCAATAGAGATGGTAACCTTCCTATCCTTCTTAGTTTCTCTAATTTCTCTAATGGGAACCTCCCCTTAATAGCTAGCGATATTGGGTTCTACTAATTCGGTTGGCTAAGGAACGCAATTATTTAAATCGATATACTTCTAGAAACCTAAATTCTAAGCTATAGAAATAAAGGTATCTTCCTAAGCCGGCCAATCCCTAGGGCCGTTAAAGGCAAGGCTATTAATTTTAATCGTAAATATTATTAGCAATCGTTTAGTCGGTTATCGTTACTAGTGATAACTTCAACAATCGAATCAATAAGACTCTTAATTATAATATTACTAGTAATAATCGATATATGGTTCAACGTAGCTTAATTGTGTATGTGTGTATAAGACTGGCTCTGCAGACTCGAAGCTCTGGCATCTAGATAAATCCCACATATCCCAGCCCAACTGGGCACGTGCACGCCCAGTGGATCCCCTGGCCTCTAACAGATTAATCCAAATTCCAAACAAGCCCCAGACCCACTATCGGTCGAAGTCGCCTCGTTGGGCTGTCAATGGTTGTTCCGGGTTTCTGGTTCATCTTATTGGGATCCACAAACTTGGACTCTAGCTCCATGGATGAGGTCTAGGCCTTGATAGTCCCTAAAGCTCAGCCAGCCACTATTGAATTACCTCTCGGTCAATGAAGGAAGAAGCCTGCTAAGATCTGGACTGTTGACCGATACTTTGAGCGCTTGCTTTTCTAGTGTATGGTGTGAAGCGCCGATAGGGTGCCATATAAGACAAAGCGTTGGGAACGTGAGCTCAGACAAAGAGAGACACCCGAACCTCTGCTCTCTTTCCCTGTTTCGCGTTCTTCCGCGTCCATTCTTTAATTGAATCCCTTCACGATCATCGACCATGCGTGCCTCATTCGCGCTTTTGCCAGCCCTTGCGGCCATGACTATGGCAAGTCGATGCCGCCCACGGACAACAACGTCGTCTTTGGCAACGTCGACCTTGACGTCAGCGGTTGTTAGCAGCCCAACAAGCTCTGCCGACCCTACCTCCAGCGCTGTCAGCATCATCGAGAGCACGACAACCACTGCATCAGATGAGCCTACAACAACTGAGTCATCGACCTTGGAGCCATCGACCACGGAGCCTGCCACGAGCGAGCTGCCCACCACGAGCGAGCCGCCCACCACGAGCGAGCCACCTACCACCAGTGAGCTGCCTATCCCGGCGCCTACCACCACCGAGGAGCCTACCACCACCGAGGAGCCTACCACCACATCCGCCGAGAGCGCGACCTCGACCGCCCCCAGCGCTGCTCCAACAGTCACGGGCTTCTGCCTGAAAGCCATCACGGCTAATGTGCCCAACTACAAGTACCACATTCGTGCGCTCGGTCCCGGCTCCAACATGCTGACCGAGGCCCCAAACTTCCCCAATCTCGCCTTCTTCGACCTCGACATATCTACTGGCAAAATGACCATTAGCAACGGTGAATGGGCCGGCTATGAGGTGTTCACTCCCCCACCATTCGACGGTCAAAACACTCGCGTCATCCGGTTCACGGACTCGCCAGCAGACATAGAATATCCGTTCCGCTGCTCGAATCCTGATGGAGTGTATTCGGCTGGGTCGGTGTTGAAATGTGAGGTGACAGCTCCTTGGGGTGACGGCGTTAATATGAGGTATGCTACGTTCAGTGGCAGTACTAACTCGCCTGCCGGCGCGTGGAATATTATGCGCGATGACTATGTGAGGGCTGGGGCCTTCAACTACGATTTGGGCATGTTCTTTGGGGATGTTTGCAGTGGTGAGAATGACCAACATCCATGATGGGACAGGAGAAGCGAATATTCAGAGACCGTCTTGTAATAGATGTTGGAGATGTAATTTGCAATGGGTGCAGTCGTTCTTGAGTGGTATATAGAAATGCTGAAGATGGATAACAGGCGATCCATACTGCTACGCTGCTGAAGTTGTAGGCATGTAGCCGCAATCTTGCAGGGTTTTTCGAAGCTTTCGAATGTGTTCGGGGGACGCCTTGCAGCAACCTCCCACAATGATGGACTTCCATTTTCCTCTTTGACGTGCGGCTTCGACAACATTGGCTAGGGTTGCTTCCCAAGGGGCCTGTGAAATTATGCATGAGCCAAAGGACTTGTATGAGGTGGAAGATTCAGATAGTTGTAGATCATAACATACCTCTGGCTGTTTGTGCCCAGGAGGCAACTCCCAAGTCTTGCTGGCCGTGTTGTAGACCTCACCGTTTGCTCCGTCTGGATAGAGCACCAAGCTTGGCCAGTCCATCGGCTCTCCGTTGTCGATGCAGGTCTGGATCGCATCTTCATATCGTTTGACCAAGGAGTCGAGCTTTTCCACCTTGGTACAGTTGATACCAATTCCCCAGGGAGTCTCCAAGCCTTCCTTGTGTATGAGGACGGCTTTGACGACCTCCTCTACCGTGCTGCCGTCCGGGAGCTTCTCGTCATCGTTTGGATAGAGAGGTGAAATCCATACGGGGCGTTCGCGAAGGGATGTTGGGATCTTGTCGACCGAGAGCAGATTTCTGATGGCAACAATCTCGTCAAGCCTGGGAACCGTTTCGAAGGCAATGTAGTTGACTTGCTTGGTGTCGACGTCTTTGAACAGATCCAGCCGCTCCTTGTGCCATTTTTCCAGGGACCGCACGTCTTGGTGTTCAGGGTCGTACTTGCCGCTGTATTCGGTCGATGGAATCATGGTGGCTCCATAAGGGCCGAGAGACAAGGCAACATTGCCCTCCCTCCCCGCTGCATTTGCGGCAAGGACGACTGCACGATTCAGGAAGCGAGGGATTCCTTCCTTATCGATGCCGTCCACTTGGTTGGAAGAGCATTTGGTTGCAGCAAACCCGTTGATTGATGCTTGGTACGTCGCGGTAGAAATGATGTTCGCTCCTGCCTTTTTGAAGGCCTCGTGACAATCCAACAGCTTGTCCTCTTCACCGGAAACAAGGAGATGCGATGACCAGAGCGGAGTTTCGAATGAGAAGGTGATGTCGTGTAAGTCTTCCAGAGTGGTCCCCAGCCCTCCATCCAGGATCTGGACTGGAATCGGTGTAGCCATTGCACTGCTGCAGTATTGTGACGTGATTGCGGGGCGTCGTGGTTCGTCGTGGTCGGGCACTGGTTGTGGTGTTGCGCTCAAGATGTTTGAGGGGGAAGGAGTGAGTGAGTTGCAATTGCCTCGGGTGAATTTCCAAATGAATCTCAAGAATGCAAGAGCTTCCAAAGATGACGTTCAGGCTGCCCCGCTACGGAAATTGTTAAGGATTGGCCAATCATTGCTTTGCAACGGCAGGGGCAAGCCTGGGCACATGAAGTCCTGTGGTCTTGTCACCTCCGGCTCAGTCTTGTCCAATTTCCACGCCAAGACCTGTCAACACCCACCCAGCAAACCATCCCCCAAAGCGCCGCATCGAGATTCTAGACAGACCCAGAACGAACGCCAAACGCAAGATTGAAGGGCTGTGTTTTGCCCTCTGACCATTGAAATCTAGCCGTTTGTCGTTTGCGGCCATCCCCAATGACGAACAGTGTCTGGTGTTCTCAGAGACGTCTGGCGCACGAAGACCGAGGAAGTTCTTCCCTCTGCGAGCAGCTGGACTTCTCACCATGACTTGTCTCCTGCAGTCTCATCCATGAGAAGATAATTCACTACCAGTCCTTCGAACGTGTTTGGTAAGAGCATCGTGAAGCACAACCATATGTGGTTCTGTTGATGAAGCTGAGAAGCCTAGAAATGGAGCCAGAAAATCTTCGGCTCTGTCTATAAAAGTGAGGGATTATACCAAGGCATTGAACTTTATCCCTACACCCTGGCGCACTCGTACTAACCCTCACAATGGTAGAGTCAGTTTCTGGATCTCGAACGCCTCCATATCCCATTCATCACTCTGGAGAGTATCCACGACTTGGTTCTCTTCGAGATGTTCGATGCAGGTGCTACGAATATGAATCGGGTGAGTTTGAGCTATGGGAGCCAATTCCCCTGCGGAGAGCCCTCCCCTTTGAGGTCAGGTACCAAGAAAAGTGTCTAGTAGCACAGGGAGTTGCTCGTGGAACTCTTCGGATTGTCAGACAATTCAAACTGAGAAGCCCAGAGGCTCTTGTTTTTGCAAAAGAGCAGGTCCTTGCCATCACAAAGCCAAAGGTCCGTCAAGAGATCCCAATCCAGTCTGCTCTACTGCTTCCAATGTTCCAGTCATGACTAACCTCCTTCGCTCCGGCTTGCTTTCTAGTTTGCATACCACTTCCTCCAGTACCTGCAAGTTTTCCAGACTAATGACCGCCAAGAGAACACTGGTATTCCCCAGCTTCACCTCATGACGGAGGACTTTGCCCTGGGAGACCTTCAGTCTTTCATCACGACCAATGGGTCCATACGGGAAGAGGAAGCAAGAACAATCATGCGTCAAATCTGCAATGGTCTAGGTCTCCTGCATCTGGAAGGTCTTGCCCATGGCGATTTGCAATTGTGCGTAAGTAATTCCCGGAGGATCATTCCCGCGGAAAGTGATGCAGTGCAGGAGTCGTCACTAACGTCTCGCTGTCCGTGCTAGCACGTTAATATCGTCCGTCTTCCCGAACAAAGCACCGTTCAACAGCACAGAGAGTGGCGCGTCAAAATTGGGGGATGCAGACTTCATTACCCAATGTCCCCCATCAGCTACGGCAGTCCCGAGAATTTCATCAAGACTGTTGCCTATGGAAACCTCTCCTTTCTATCCCCAGAGATTCTAGGGGGTTACACACTGAGAAAACCTTCAACCTTTGAAGGAATCAATGGTATACAAGCATTCGACGTTTGGGCAGCAGGAGAGGTTGCCGCTCAAATGTTAACCGGGAGTCCAACTTTTGGCCTGGATCTCCCGAAAATCTTCGACTATCAGGCCGGAACAGTTTTGTTTCCAACCAAGAAGTTGGATCAAGCGATGGTCTCAGCACTTGGCAAAAGATTCATTACGAAATTCATGCACCAAGACCCCTTCATGCGCCCAACACTCCCCCTCGATCCAAGGCGAGATGCCATTGCACAGTGGATTGAACCAGCCAACTACTGGCAAGCCAAGGAACTGAAGTCAGTTCCACTAGCGACACTCTACCACAACAAGATTCTACCGCCTACAATGCATTACACGCCTGACGGGAGCAAGCTGGTGCTGATAGACTCCCATACCATTACCATGCGTTCAAGTTCCGCCGGATTCATTAGCAGCTGGATCTACGAGAACGACCGGCATGCCGCATACCGCGCTTCGGCTCTCTCGTCTTGCGGCAAGCGGCTGGCGGTGTATGACGCACACTCCAATGCCATCAAGATATTTGACCTTGCGAAGAGGAGGAACACCGGACCATCCATCTCCTACCCCGTTTCTGAGCCACTCATTACCCCCACGGTGTCCAATTCCCCGTTTGTGCAATTACAGCAGCCGCAAACAATCCTCAACTTCCACCCTACCGGCTCTACACTTCTTTCCGCCTCCCCCAGCACCTTCACAACTCTTGATCTATCTGTTCTCCCGAATCCTGCCGACCCCCTCCCGTACCAGCCCAAGACTGACTCCCGAGAAGAACCAATTCTTAACGCTTGCTATACCAATGACGGCCTGGCAGTAGTTATTTCCCGCAGAAACTTTACAACGTTTACCTTGCTATCCACCGGGAAAATCACCCGAAGAGTGGCGCATCCCGTCCCCGCTCGCGTTATAGCTATTGCACCCGACGGACACCGCCTTATCTTGGGGTCAAAGGATGGCGATATCTGGTCTCTTTCTACTTCATCGCTCATCCAGTCAGAGGAAGGTTGTTGGGTACCGGTCTGGCGAGGGATAGACGGATATCCTGTCGACTCTATCGACATTGCCCTGTCATCTACCCCTTCAACTCGAGAGGGGGTTACTAGTGCTACCGCAGTTACGGTAGCGGTTGTTAGTGGGGAGAGATTGACTCTTCTGTCCATCGGTGATGATCAAGACGATTGCTGCTTGGGATGGGTCGAGTTCAAGAAACGGAAGGCGCTGATTGCGAAGATTAAGCCACGAGCGGATAGTGAGAACCATCAGGAGATCGCGTTATGGAGTGGAGGTGAAAGCAGGATTACATTCTTGAAGCTTGAGGGTTTTCATGAAAAGGATAAGGTTGAGGGTGGCAATTACTTCAAGCGGCCCATAGAGCCGACCGTCGCCGGAGAAAACGAGAACCACAACGAGAACGCGGAAGAGCAAAAGAAGGAGCAAGACTATGTGTATACAAGCACCGGAGGGATCTTGATTTGCGGAAGTGAGATTGAGGTTGACGGCGCAATTGAGAAGGAGGACGATGAGGAGGGGCTTGATGAGGAAACTAAGAAGGAAAATGAGGAGGGAGAAGGGGCCAGTAGCTCTGGATGTGGGAGTTGGGTTCTTGATGGCTACAGTGATGAGTAGTTAACCCACTTCTGAGGACACACGGGTATGGGAAGGAAAGGAGAAAGAGTCAAAGACGAGTGTCTTTGAGTTGTCTGGAATAATTTTCGGTTCGAGGGAAACCAGATGTGGACGGAATGCGAATATTTGGAAGCTCATAAGTTGACGGGCAGTTACCTAGGTCATTAACTTTGCGAGTGCATTTAGAAAAGAGTTTTTGCTTGTGCGTTGTGCTTTTCAGATACGGCGATTCATACCTCTATGGAGAATGAATCAGATCGGTCACTCGAGAAAAACACATGGCTGGATTATAGAAATGCCCAGGAATCCAAACCAAATTGGCAACCCAGCCAACCCACCAGGGGTGTACTCCGTTTCTTGAACTCCGGAGCCGGGAACCGTTGAGTGTCTCGTTTGTTCCTCCTTTGTCTTGCAGTAGTGGCTCCAATGCCCTAGTCTTCAAAAGAAAAAGGCAGGTCCACCGTGGACTACAACTTCCGCGCCTAACTCACCGCAGTTGACAGGACGGAAGGAACCCGAGGCTTTGGGTACGATGGACCGACACATGGCTGGAATTCTGGAAACTCACCGCAGTTTAGAGATCGGTCACGTTTCCGAGGCCGGCTCCAGCCTGCCAAGGTACCCGGTACACATCGATACCTCTTCGCATTTGAACAACTTGGGAAAGAAGCAACAAATGAAAAATCCAATAACTACACCTGAGCATCGTCAGTCGTCCCGAGTCGCCTATCCTTTCCTCTCTCGATCCTAGCGGCGAAGAAGCATGGCCCGAGTTGGCGGCGGAACTCACTTCCAGCACATCAGCAAACCAAGCCGATGTGGCATGGACTTTATGGAGGCCCGGCCAACACAGAGAAGAAATCCACATCAAGGATCCAGAAGCCGCGGCGACTGCCAAGATTCATAGTCACGATGGGTGAGAAATCCTGCAGCGAAGCTTAAAAAAAGGGGGGGCTCTAATCCCTCGGAGGAGATGCCGTTGGAGTTTTGTGAGAAGATTCTGGGCGTTTGCTGCACAGACCGCTAGTCCTTTGCCCTGCAGGCCCCTTTGACAGCGGTTCTGGCACTTCCCAGAATCCCCTCCTTTGCAGACCTTCCTCCTCTTTGTATCGCCAGCTCTATATAGCTGGCGATCCCTTCCAGCCTCAGTAAGCTGGATCCCTCAATCTACATCATTCCCATCATTCGTGATCCACCTCATAGGTCATGAGCCCTCTGTCGCAACGCTAATCGACGCGACCTCCCAACAACAACAACAAGTCAGCGACGCGATTCTCGCCCTGACAACCCCTCCAAATCAGACGAGCTTCCTGATACCCCAAGTCGACGATCTACCGACACCTTGTGAGGATTATCTATCAAGACAACCGTCACAATCAATCCCACAACAAAACCCCGTCGTTTACTCTCGTAACCATGACAACCAACAACAACCTAGCCGACACGGCAACCCTCATACAACTGAAAGGCGAAAAGAATCTGGGTGACTGGGAGTCAGCTCTCTGGGTCGCACTGGACTGCGCCAACCTCACAGACTATGTCTTTAGTCCAAAAGACAAACCAGAACCGAAAGACAAGGACTCAGAGAAGTACGAGACGTGGCGAGCCAACAGAGCCAGAGCAGTTGCCGCCATTCACAGTACCCTGAAAGCCGAGAATATCAGAACCATACTACAGATCAATGGCTGGGACCCCAAGAATCGAGACCCCAGCTATCATTTCCAACTAATTCAAAAGGCAATCGCGAAAGTCACCGACGAGGCCAGGGCAGATGTACTTCACGAATACCTGTCCCTTAAACGACAATCATTTGACACCATAGAGTCATTTCTGTCACGATACAACGTGTGCCGCAAGCGAGTTGCTGACGCGGGCCTCAAGATTGACGATGAACTCGAGATGGTGATTCTGTTCAACATGGTCAGAGATCGATACCCCATTGAAGCTCGTCTCTGGGCAGTCGATATGGAGAAGAAGACACTCCTACCTCCAGTCTTCCTGGGCAAGCTCAGCACTATCGGCAACAGCGAGAAACGTAATCCAACCCTCAGTGTCTCTACACAAGTCAACAATACCAACAATACCAACAAGAACAACTCAAATGATAAAGGCAAAGACGGTAAAGACAACAAGGACAAGAAGAGGGAGACAGAGAAGTGTTCCACGTGCAACAGGGACATCACCAAAGGCCACAAACACTTTGACTGTGGCCATCACAGGAATCCAAAGACCCCAGACTGCTGGATGTGCAACCCAGAGAAGGCACCAGATACATGGAGAAAGAAGAAAGAATTGATGGAAGCCAAGTCCGCTGGCACGGCTGCAGCCACGGCTGACACGAACAATGGCCTTACCCATCCCTCATCAAAGAGCTCCCTTCTGTACGGTAGTGTCAACAACTTCATGGCATTAAGCCGTGACGATTCTGATTCTGATGGCAATCAGGATTTTTGGTAGAGCCCGTAGCCAATACAAACGCTAAAATCCAACAGGCTCTCAAGGTATACAACATCAATAATAACGACGATACACGTGACAAGGTTCTCTACGATTCTGGATGTGCCACTAGCATATTCAACCATCTCAAATGGTTCACAGACATACGACCACTAAACAAACCTTCTGAACACGTAGTGGGCAACGGTAATTCCATATACTCGTACCATGTGGGTACAGTGGAGTTAACCATGCCAACAATAAATCACGGTACAATAAGGGCGACGATCAAGGACGTACAGTTCTGTCCCGACGTTCCCGCTAATCTCATTACCTCTACTGGCCTTCTTGATAACGGTATGGAGTGGATGATGAAAAGCAACCAGATTTCGTACGGCAAACACACGATACAGAGTAGTTGGGCAGGCAATGTACCTACTCTTCCAACTATATCTCTAGACAACTTTGACCAGAGCTGTGAACTCCCTAGGGCCCTAATGGCCTCGATAACGTACAAAACAATGCACAAACGACTGATGCACGCTGGTAAACAACAAGTCATCGAAGCTTGCCAGAAAGCAGGTATTCCTATAAGCAGACAAGAAGAGGACGACTGTGAGGCATGCAATATATCAAAGATGACCGACAAAATGCCTAAGGTAGTCTACGGTACAGCAGCAAAGAAGGCACTACAATACGTACGTGTAGACGTGACTAGCCATAACCAACCAGGCCATATGGGCGTCAAATACGTGGTTCACTTCACCTGTATGGCAACAGCTCACAGATGGGTTCGTTTCGTTGTCAACAAAGGCGATGCCTTCAAAGCACTAGTCGAATGGAAGAAGTTCGTAGAACTTCAGACTGGTCTGAAGGTCTGTATCATTGGCCTCGATGGAGGGCCAGAGTTTGGACTGGCAACAACAGAGTTCAAGAACAGTAAGCTCGATAAATGGGCAAAGCAAGAAGGTGTTGAAATCTGGAAAACGACACCGCACACACCATGGATGAATGGCCCAGCCGAACTGACTGGCCGGCTCATCATGACAAAGACCAGAACAGTCATCCAAGAGAACAAGATTCCCATAGTTCTATGGCCGTTTGTGATGGACGCCGCCGTCAGAGTCATAAATCTCCTACCAACCAAAGCGAATAAAGACAACGACAAGATGAGTCCCCATGAACTTCTTCATCCTCACGCTAATTCACCAAAAGACCAAAAGAAGCCATACCTCAAACACTTGCGAAAATACTGGTGTACCGCCTACTATTACATCAAACCCCAAAAACGCGAGCAAGGCGACAAATTTACCCCGCGAGCGCGCAAAGCCCACCTTCTCAATTACGGTGACGAACACGGCCGCATTTACTGGCTATACGACCCCGAATCTCACGAGATAATCCGAGCGAGCGCAGTCAAGTTCGTGGAAAAGGAAAACGAGGATAAAGAAAGAGAGGATGAGCCTCAACACACGGTAGTCTTCGAAGATCACAGCGTTCAAGAGATAGAAGACGTGGCGGAGCAAGAGAAGGAGGTGATAATTAGGGTGACGGGTATAACGCGACGGTCAACAGAAGCGCAGCCGGTAGAAGGTGAACAACGGCCTCAACCCAAGCTTCCCCCTGCGGTCCTCGAGATACCGCGTTACTACCAAACCCCATCCTCAACACCAGTGCCATTTTCAACACCATTGATTCAAGAACTCCAGAACCAACAAGACCAGCCATTACCGTCTATCGAGGAGGAGGAGCAAGAGGAGGAGCAAGAGGAGGAGCAGACAATGGACCTTGATGACTTGGATGAGGAGGATCCCATCCCACCAAAAGACAGCCCGCTCAACAAATCCAAATCACGCTCCCCTAGCGAATCCAGCAAATCTCGGAATCAGAAGACGCAAGTATGGGAGACGTGGATAACGCGACTTCTACCCCTACTCCACGAGGCAGTCTCAGAATGCCAAATCTATTCAAGAGGTTTATGTCTCCATCAACCTTTAAACCTCTCCAGAACCCCATGGAGCTCCAGCCTATGCCGCCAAAATCTCCAGGTCCGCTGGCATCTCCAGTTCCGCCTCCCCGACTGCCACCAGCTAACCCGGCTTCTCCAGCTCCCTCACAAGCACCCCTAACTCCCCTGGTTCCTCTTTCAAAAGACCAACCCTCTTCAGAGCCCACGGCTGTTACCGTGAGGGATAACTCTGTTCCCCCAGAGGTATGCGAAGGTCGTCCAAGGAGATCTAAAGCCAGGAAGCCAGAAGGATACAAGTACGGTGATGAACAAATAACCGACGAACTGGGTAAACCAATCGTCAATAAACCATTGCTCTACCATGGAACGATGGAACCAAACCGTTTGACGAGACCACCACCTACCTATTGCTTTACAGCAATGAAAGCACTAAAAGAAATCAATACACGTATCAACATTGAAAGAGATATCCCCAAGAACTACAGACAAGCCAAGAAGCTCCCGAATTTCAGTACATATTGGCTTCCAGCCATGCAAAAGCAGGTGAAAGCACTGGAAGACCAACGAGTGTGGACTCTGGTACAGAAAACCCCTGATATGGATGTTCTACCCGGCAAATGAGTATATGACGAGAAATTCAACCTTCTTACACAAGAGCATGAGGCCAGAGCCAGATGGGTAGCTTGTGGCAACAAAGAACAGGAAGATTCATGGAATATCGAAGACGTTTATGCTGCAGTAGCCAATAGTACGAGCCTTCGAATCTTTCTGGTTTATATGGCCATTCACGATCTGGAATGTCAACAATTCGACTTCAATACAGCATTTCTTAATGCCCCCATTCCAGAAGGGAAAAGATATTACGTCGAACAACCAACAGGACTAGCTAAGACGTCCCTACCTGTCCCATCTGGACTATACAAATATTCTGAACTGGTGTGCTTGCTACGTAGAGCTCTATATGGGTTGAGACGGAGTCCTCTATACTGGTTTAACACCATAAATCCCATCCTGATAAACCTGGGCTTCTCGGCACTAGGCACAGATGCCTGTCTCTTCATCAACAAAGGAAGAAGAGCATTGATCATACTCTACGTCGATGATCTCCTTATTGCAGCACCAAGAAATGAGGACGTTGAAAATATCGCCAACCAGCTGAAATCCAGGTTTAAGCTGAAGTCGATGGGCGAGGTCAGAACGTTCCTTGGCTATGATATTGTTCGTAACAGAAAAGAACGCACGGTGTTTGTGTCACAACAGCGATATGTACAAGCAATTATCAAGAAGTTCGAATATGATGGCTTGAAAGGCGCCAACACTCCATGGCCACCAAGTTACAAGATCTATGGGGGTGCCAGTCCAGCCATCGAAATGGCAGAGATTCAGAAACTATACATCAAGAAGACAGGATCACTCAACTACGCCTCGATGGGCAGTAGACCAGATATCACATTCACAGTCAATAAACTATGCGAAGGCAACGCCAAACCGACAGACAGGCACGACTACGTGATGCGTCATCTCTTCAGATACCTGGTAGACAACTCAGATCTGGGATTACTACTGGGAGGCCTGTCGTTTCCACGGCAACCAGACCTCAATTTCAGGACATACGCAGATGCCTCATATGCTGATGATATCGAGACAAGGCACAGCACAGCCGGCCATATTGTATTTGTCACGACTGGGCCAGTATTCTGGAAGTCAAAGAAGCAAGCCTTCGTTACACTAAGTACAACAGAAGCAGAATTCACAAACCTTGTGCCAGCAGCTAGATCAGCTGACTGGGTGTCACAAATGCTGGAGGAACTGGGCATGGCACAACCACAGCGTATCCTCTTTACAGACAGTGCCAACGCAAGAGCAACAGCGCTCAGAACCCCTGGAAGGAACCGCTGCATTGATATACGGCTAAATTGGGTCACAGAACAGATAGAACAGAAAAGGTTTGAGGTTATTCACATTCCCGGTACTGATATGGTAGCCGATGGCCTGACGAAAGGCCTCAAGGCGGATAAGCATGGAAAATTTGTAAAGATGCTGGGCTTAACCAGAAGGGATATCCCCTGGCTCAACACCAAAAAGAAGGAGGATATTTGATTGTTTACATGTACATAGATTTCCTATTTCAGGTCTGTGGGGGTGTGTGAGAAGATTCTGGGCGTTTGCTGCACAGACCGCTAGTCCTTTGCCCTGCAGGCCCCTTTGACAGCGGTTCTGGCACTTCCCAGAATCCCCTCCTTTGCAGACCTTCCTCCTCTTTGTATCGCCAGCTCTATATAGCTGGCGATCCCTTCCAGCCTCAGTAAGCTGGATCCCTCAATCTACATCATTCCCATCATTCGTGATCCACCTCATAAGTTTTTTTCTGTGGGACAAGACCAGACGGGACTGGAGGAATGGAGCCGCTCAACTGTCTGTCTCCTGCAATGCTACCCCCCCCATTTCCCCTGTCTCTTCGGGTGTCAGTCCTTCATCGTCCTGGGTCTGGGTCTGGGTCTCTGGGACGCTAGAGAGGCGATACCCGATACCGCAATAAGGTAGGCACGGTACTGTAGGGTACGAGTCCAGCCATCGTTGGGTCGTTCTTATGTGGCGACATGGGTCTGTGTTGGACTTTGAGGTGTCATTTCCCCGTTCTTCATGTCACGTACCTAGGTACCAGGCCAACGGCGTCTAAGTGCGTGTAGATGGAATTGCGGCTAACGGTCCGCGAGAGGGAAGCAATACCATGTAAGGATGTCAGGAACACCGGTCAGAAAATAGTTTGGGCATTATCGATGAAGCGAGAGAGGCCCTATCCTCTCAACGACTGCCTGCAGCTCCAGTCCAGTCGCGTGGCAGCGCAGCAAAGCAATGGTGATGTTGGAGAACCTAACGACCTAACGTTCATGTTAAAGGCCAAAATGGGAAAGGTTACGGACAAGGAGGTTCGTGATGATGGTGCCCGCTCTGCCACCTGGTGATGGATTCCACTTGGACTGGAATGGAGTAAACTGGAGGTGACAGGTCCGGGTTATGATTCCACGAAGCCGATCATGATGGCCGCGTTTACCAAATCCTCGGTACTTCGTGCTACGGTTACTCAATGCGACAGCACATTCCCTGCACAGCCATTGTGGTACCCAGCTTCCATGTTCCCCAGCCAGGCAGAACTAACTAAGTCC